GGCTGCTATAAACTGTAGAGAAAACATCTCATGTTGGTGCTACTGGCTTTAGCAAAACTTCATAGTAAACAATGGGTAAAAATCTAACTTAGTTTTAGGACAGGGGCAAAAGGAAAAGACAGTTTTCATTGGATCTGATTTTCTCAGGGAAATAAATGCCAAAGAAAGATATTGTTGGTGAGGGGTTGGGGGTGGAGATTGAAATTGGGTGGGGAAAGAGGGTAGGGAGAATAGAAAAAAGTAAGAATAATGTTTTGCCATTTGATTTCTTTCCCTTAGAAAAACTTAAAGGAAACAGGTCATAACGAAAATGATCACTTCTGGGGTAGTACAAACATGAACGTTTAATATTTCATTCTCTACACTTTTTCACTTTTAGTTATATTTAAAATCTAGCAACAATAAAAACTTCAGTTAATTTTGATACACGTCCTCTGTTAATTGCCATTACTTTAAAAGAACCCAAGCTTTATTTAATAATCTAAGTATTAAATGTTGCTGTTGAAAAGTTTCAGCATGTACTTTTCAGACTTAATAAGGATAGAACTTTTAAACATAATTTACTCTATTTAAACACAATGAGGAGGAAAGAAGACACAGCAGTCAGAGTGGACTGGGCTGGGGAGCCACCTGAGAGTGACGATAAGGGCAGAAGAGGGCCAGAGCCAGGGCCCAGAGCAAGGGCCCAACAAGGCGGCAGCCCCTGGGCCAGGCCCATCTCTCTCAGACTTCACAGCAGCCCCTGTATTACTCTCTCTGCTCCCAGATTTACCTCCCTCCCAGCTATCCTCCCAAAATGTTTGGAAAGATCTTTCCAAAGCATGAATTCGCATGGCCCCCGAGTGCTCCCTTGGTCCATGGATGCATCTCACGTCTCCATGATGACACCAGACCTCCCTGTTGTGCTCCACCAGGCTCATTCCCCATTCTGCACCTCCAACTAGGTGTGTTCTTCATGGTTCCCCACACCTTGCTGGAAATTATCTGTACTCAGCTCCAATGGTGCCTTCTCCACAAGGCAGTCTTTACTTCTCCCACAGCCAGAGCTGATCATTCTCTTCACCGTGCAGCCTGCACCAGTCTGTCGCATCTCTACAGCAGAGTCCCCCAACTGGGACAATCTACTGGGAAGTCTGTTTCCCCAAACGTAGCCAAAAATGAACGGTCCTCAAGAACAGAGACTCTGCTTACTTAACTTTCTTTGACATCTACTAATAGGTCTACTGGATTCTCAAGGAAAACTTTATTGAACTGAATCAAGTAATCATTTCTGAGCTATTAAGGTTTAAATCTTTGTGGAAATCTTAAACTTTTCTGAAAACAAATTTTGTTTTAAAAACTAAAATTCTCACATTTTGGGGTGATCTGGCTCCCAGACAAGCACCTGGAGAAGCACAGAGCAGTTCACTGAGGCATAAAGATGACCTTTGGAACCTGTTCAAGCAGATTTTCAAGGGCAGGCCCTTTGCAGCTCGGACGACTCACCCCTAACTGGGGCGGGAGAATGCTCACTCTCCTCTGCCATCTGTGTCCTCCAGAGGAATACAGCAGAACAGGCTACAGGGCTTTGAGCGGGACACACAAGCTGCCCCGCAAAGGCTTGAGGGAACGGCTGAGAAGTAGACATCTCCCCTTCCTTCTGCCGAAAGCAGTGTGGTTTTTCACACCTTACTCAACAGGCCAGCCAAAGAGGGCCCTGCTAAGCAGAACACAGGTGAGCCTCTCAATTAAAACAGCTTTTAGTCGTTTATGCATTAAAAGTTTCAAGGAAGATTCAGTCTGCAACATGAGTTCTGCTGCTTAAAAAAGGCTAGAAAACCACTAGCCTGAAGAATTCTACCACACCCTTGCCCGGGAAGTGAAGTGAGGCTTAGGGGCAAGAGGGCCACATGGAAGCCAGAGCTGGCAGCAGCCCCAGGTGTGAGCTAGCCACTTTTTCAAACTTCGAGGGAGAACACGGAAATGAAGCTTGGCTTCATCCTCCCAGGAGGGCCAGAGGCCTTTGTCCCCCCCAGAGAACAGAAATACTGGCTTCTGAGCATGTAAAAAGTGATGAGCAGCCTGTTGAGGCAGGCGCTTCAAGGACAGGTCCTGAGACAGTCTCCCATCCGCCACTTCTCCAGAAAGCCTTGCTACGTCTTCTCAGGAAAAGCACAGCGTCCCTTGTAAATCTGGATACTCAGCCCCCATTGCCTGCCCAGAAGCTATCCTTACTGTCTGTAGGGATGTCGTCAAATTTCTGTAGCAAGTTTATCCCATTAGTTTGTGTGGGAGGCCAGGAAGGGGAGGCTGTCGTCCTGACCCCGCAACGAGCTCAGCGAGGACACTCACCCCCGCCTCCCACACTGGGATCTCAGCCTCCAGAGCTCCCCAGTTCCTGGTAATGGCTGTGTAGGAAGGTGAAGGAGGGCACCTGAACATAAATGCCCATGGAGCGCAAAGACGACATCTCTGCAGGCAGGTGGCTGCCAGCCTGATTCTCCTCACTGTCCCAGGGCCCTCAGAGGGAGACACAGCAGCTCTACAGCCTGGACCACACCAGCCCGAGTTATTAATGACCAACATGGTGCCAGTCACGGAGGAAGCCCACATTCTGACCAAGGGCTCCAAGTAAAAAATACACCTTATTTCTAAACTGCAGGTGCTGAGGGAAGGACTGGTAGCCAGGGCTGCATGCCTGACTCCAAGGGACATAGGGGTGACAAGTGATCTACGGCGTGTGCTGGAGCGAAGCCTTCTGCTTGAAACCATTCTCCCATCTCCACCCGATGAATCCCCATCTGAGAGAGCAGCAGTCTAGGATTCAGAAAATCTGAGATCAAATCCTGACTTTGACACTTTCTAGGCTTGGTAAGTGACACTTGGCTTTTAAGCTCCCGAAGCCCTGGTTTGCTAAATATTATTCCTCAAAAGGTCACTAATGGGACTTACTTCATAGTGAGCATAAATGAGAGAACCCACTATAAGCTCTGCACTAAACTAGCTCGTCTCTCAGTCCCAAACAGCAGCACATTCCCCGTGCAGCTCATCCCTAGGATTCCCTCCATGTTGTATTTTGGCTCCCTCTGCTAACACTTTTCCAGCAGTGCCCTATATTTCACATTCCCATTTACACAGCCAGTTCTGTGAATAGAGGGTTGGCTGTTAACTGCCCACAGTGATGAGCGCCATGCCTGGAACACTCAAATGGTATTAGCTGATGGGAAGAACAAAGGCCTCCATTTTTCCAAGAATAATGTGGTAGGGAGGAAGGAAAGGAAATACACGAAGATGGAGGTGGTTCTTGGAGCTCAAATGCTGAGCCAGTTGCTACCCCACTGCCTCTGTTTCCACCCCTCCAAAGGAGAATGGGCCAGGGCTGAGAGTGGGGGGAAAGTCATCTTTTTTTATTTTGTAAGAACACACATAAACATAGCCATGTGTTTGTGTGCACATATACATATACAGTAATGGCTACATTGTTTTCCCATTGAGGAAGAGTTAAAATCACCAAATGAGAAAAAGAGCGATTCCTGCATCCCACGGGAGCCCATCTGCACAGGAGAGCTTCATTCATCACTTACAGGGCTTTAGTTCTAGGGCACACAGCCCTAGACCTAGGAACCATACACAGTGTAGAAATGGAGCAATTCATAACATTGCAGATGGAAACACAAAATTGATGTCTGTAAACTCCTGGGTACATCATTAATTTGTTAGCTCAGGAAAACTAGAAACAAGAGTCAGAACTTGAGCAAACCCCAGGGCAGTTACATCCACATAGAGAGGACTGCACCTTTGGTTAAAAAGCAGGATCTAGGAAGTTAATCTTAGTCTTCCAACTGCTCAGCCAGTGCCGCTAAAAGCCAGCCACCATCAGCCACATGTGCGAGCGAGCCAGCATGCTGCCCACTGCAGCGGGCACTCCAAATGTTCCTTCCTGCTCACTAGTTCTAGTCCACAGCCAGCCTTGTTTGCATTAAAAAAGCTGGAGGACTCTGGGAAGGATCCCAGGGGCTCACTACTCGATGCTGTAAAATTACACTTTGTTCTTTAGGTTTAGAACAAAAATACAAATTTAATTAATGTATGGAAAAAAAAAATCAGAACAGCAACAAAAAAGGCCTGTGGAAAAGGCAATAATATTGGTTACAAATTTATTTTTATTATAAAGTTCTTCCACACAAATTATAATCCCTTGGAATTTCTTAAACAGGGTGTCATGGAAAAAAAGGCATGGATGCTTTATTGCAAATTTTGGAAGGGGAGAAAATAGGGAGGACTTGCATTTTAAAAATTGTCCATGCCTCTGTTTTTGCTAGGAAATATATTTTAAGAGACTAGAAAATGAGGCTTATGTAAAAAACAATGAAGTAAAATTCAAATATAAATGAAACTGCAAACACGGATTTGATTAAGAGCTTCCTCATCTCACGAAGATCTTTTTTGAGGCCTCACGTCAAAGTTCTTTTTAATAACAGAGCCATACACTTAAAAGGCAACATTAAGCAATGTGGAAGAATTCTGGTGGAAAATACTCTCCGTGTTGGAAGAACACATGAGAAAGATGTATTTTTTCATGAGTACTCTTGAAAATACATCAAAAGCACAAAGTAATTTCTAAGTATTTCTTACGAAGTAATTACATGATGATTACTCTGGAAATGATTCTTTTTTAGAATTTCGACACCAACTTTGCGTCTTTGGACGGCTGCTTGGTGGATATTTGAAGGTTTAAAAAAATCATGTTTCAGCTGAAAAGTTAAAGAACAGCTCTCTGCTGCATTTGCATTGTTATTAGATACACACACACAAGTACACACACGTACACACACACACTCTGAGCTTAATGTGAGGCTAGTGTGGAAACAGAGAGATTAGACACAAAGAAATGTAAACAGCTCTCACATGCAAGGAAACTAGGTTACGAGAATCCCAGCACCAGGCATTCACCAGTCACCATGGAAAACAGGAAGTGAGATGCATAGCAACCACAAGCCAAAAAGCAGGAAAGCGCATACCTTTAGCTTGGAATGAAAATCACGAGATTTCCTTCTGGCAAGAACCTGAATGTGACTAGACACCTGCAGGGTAGGGGAAGGGAGGAAAACAAAGGAAAAGCCTGTAACCATGGAGATGAAAAGCCCCCTACAACTGGGCAAGCCAGACGTACCTTAATGGCGGCTTGAATTTCTCGAACTTTCTTTCTTGCTAAGACCTGTATATGACTAGACACCTACATTGTTCGGGTTTATGAGGGGAAACAAAACAAAACAAAACAAAACAAAAAAAGGAAATCAAATATAAAATCGCTACTCCTCGGGAGGGTTTCAGGGTGGGGGGTGAGGGAGGTTATTTGCATCTCAACAAAGCTCTGCAGTTAGGAATACACAGTCCCAGCCAGACACCAAAGCCCCCAGCGCTGCTCTAAGCTTTTCTGACTGGGTCATCACTGCAGTGACTTGATTTAGGATGGAAGTTTAGGCTACTCTTAGTTTTCTCACCCAGGAGAAATCATCGGCATGGGGTAAGAGGGGGAGAGGGGGGTTGCTTTCTTTATGAAATTAAAAAGGCGGGGTAGAGGTAAATGAAAATATTTATAGCTTCTCAGGATCAGGAGGGAAAATCCCTTTTTCTCAATTTAGAAGAGACTATCCATAAATTAGCACATTCTGCAGAATCAAAAAGCTGAAGCTGTCAGTTGTATTCTGATCTCATTAAGAGCTCTGGATTCTGTAGCAAATGTTAAAGCAATACTGACATGTAAATTACATCTCAAAGAGAAATGGGAAGACCCAGTTAGCAGAGCTTTCTTTTTTTTCTTTTTCTCCTTATAAATATCTTTAATCCTTCCACTCTTGGATATTGACTGGGAGCCAAGTGGATTTGCATATGATTACAAAGCGAAAAAGTGTGAATACAGCCAGCCGGCTATCCTGTTAAAAATCTGGGTTGAAAACCACACGATTTGCTGAACAGCTAATTCACATTGGGGAGGTATCATCAACTGATGCCTAAAAACATTCCCAGGATGCCGGGGTGTGGAAACCAAGCCAAGCCCAACTTCTGAACACAGTAATGCCCCTGGGTAAACAAATTTGCATCTTTCAGTGGGACTTAGTTAAATTTAGAAGAGTCCCCCAGTGAAGGGCTTGGACACATGGCCAGAGCTCACAGACCAGCAGACAGCGCAGGTCCATCAGGTTCAGCATGTTGGGAATTAGCTGTCTGTTTAGAAATTTAGAACCCTCCATTTGAAAGTTTAGCAACTTAGACTTCGAGGCAATTCATTTCAAACACTCTGGCGATTCTAAATAGGATTTGTGAAAATAAAAGATTCATTTATCTTTAACTTTATCTTTGAGTTTCAATTACTAAAAAAAATTTTTTTTCAGTTTGCCCTTTTTTTTCCGTAATGTACGGAGAAGCAGGAACACCCATCCTCTTCACCTCTCCATCTGGCTCCTGCTTTTATTTGTTCTCACCACAATTCTGTTCTTATGTGATTCTCTGACTTAATGAAGGCCACTGTCCACTGTCAGAGGAACATCTACTGGACAATATCCTGCCTCTGAGCACTGGCAGGAGGCCACTTCCCTCTGTGCTGACTCAGCAGCCAGGCTCCTGCCTGGGACGCATGTAGCATTCCTGGGGAAAACTCCCAGTCATAAACACTCGAGTAGACTGAGCAGAGAACTGGAATCTGCTGCTCATGCTTAACGAGACCACAGTCAAGTATGCCTTTTGCTATGATTATAGTTTTTAAAATCTATGCCAGATCAACCAGCATAAGTCAACATTAAAAAATAATTTTGTTCTGTTAACAACTCACCCATGAGGTTTGCTTTATTTTTTTCCCCCTTTCCCTTTCTTTCTTTTTCTGTTTTTAGTTAAACACTAATTTCTCATCCATTCCAGTTCTGAACTGGGTCAGAGATTCAGGCTGCTTTGCATCAGAAGAACGAGGAGAGCCAGAGCCCTGGCAAAGTGCAGAGGAACATTCCTGAAACTAGCTGCACAAATGTATGTAAGTTGTAACTTCATTGCAGTCACAGCAGCTACTGACAAATAGCCACAGCTTAAGGAGCAACAGTTCCCTGGACGCACATCATTCAGTATCATATTCAGGCCAGTACTCATGGCTACTACTGTTACTTTTTCATTGAAATTATGACTAATATGTATGTAATTGTTCCAGGATTTTACAATGTACAAAAAATCTCAAAATTTCATGACTTGCAAGTGTATTTGCACCTGCAGCTTTTGCAGTGTTTGCAGATGCACAGTTTGGGAAAGAAATACTGTTTTCAAATACAGTACCGGAACAGTTCATACACTGTCCTCAGCAGGGAAACGTTCCCATATGTATATAAAAAGAACTCTGCAGACCACACAGTAATGGGTCACTGAAATGATGAACAGTGAAAACTGAGCCAATTTAAAACACCTACAACACTGACGTCCTTACAGGGAACTCAAATGGGGGGCTCCTGGGAGCCAAAGCACAGCCAGCCACTGCAGCCAAAATGCCTCCTCGGGCCATTCACTGACATGCACAGTGTCTAGGTAGGTTATTTTACCTGTTTTCTGGTCCTTGTCTTCCCTGTCCTGAGTTTGATGTATCTGGCTATCAATTCATTCCTACCTGAAAGAAAAAAGAATTTACAATAAGATGAGTTACTTCAAAAACAAAACAAAACAAACAAAAAAACAGCTTCTGAAAGCTAAAACAGAATCCAGAATCAAGAATTTTTAAATTGGGGCTATAAGATTACTAATGCTAGAAAAATAAAACAGCTAATTGTCTGCAAAAATATTTACTAGGGAAATTAGGATGAAGGGCATTTAATTATGATCTATGATCAGCAATTGAGGATAGAAATGCACCTTTTAAAAATGTGCCTTTTAGTTTCCTCCCATGCTTGTACCTAAATGGGTGTTCACATGTATAGTCAACAAAGATTAGTGTGGGAGTATACAAACCCAATTCTGTTCTAATCTTACTTATCACGTCCATTCCCCTTCACGCAGGTTTCTACTCATAGTTAACTCCAGTGAGTCAACACAGCCATGCGAGAATGAATTGCCGAGGCCACACAAACCCTACAAGTCAAGCAGACACTCCCTAAAAGCAGTCACTATACTAGTAACTGTGTACAAGAGCACATAGGTGAAAAAGGACTCAACCTCCTCCAGAGCTTTGTAACTGTTAGGGAAAATAAAATGCCTAAAAATATAAACAAATACCTCCCACCCCTACCCCATGAGGGGACTGAGAAGTCTCAAACAGATAACTTGACTTCATACTATAATGTAATGGGAAAATACATCCATAAAGCTAAGTGGAGAAATGTATTACTAATACTAGATGACATAAAAACCCCTTCACACAAGACATGGCTCCAGACTGTAACCACAGTCCTAACTGTATGGCTAGTTGTCCAATATGATGGGCTGTCTTACATCCCAGACACACTGCATACCTGAGGAGGGCATCTAGTTCCCCAAAGTCTCCCCAGCACTCAGCACAATGATGGGCACACAGAAAGAATAAATGAGGAAACAATCCAGCGTCTGGTGAAAGAGAGTGATCACATCCCCCAGATCTGCCCCAGCAGAGTGCAGAGCTGCAGCAGTACTGAGGTCCAGGGCAGAGTCCTCCTGGAAACCTTGTCTGAGAATTCGTAAGACTCCTGTCTCTGCCCAGAACGTTCCTGTAACCTTGGCTCTGCCCACTTTCTGTCTGTTAGGGCCGTGCAGGACGTGATCACAACTGGAACACAAGAATGGCTGAATCTGGCAGCTGAAATTATCTGTGGGTCATCTACTCCTACCTCCTAGAAATCTAAGTCTTTACAAATTTAGGGCAGTACTTCTAGAATCAGGGAAGCTGTCCATTCTACCTTGGAACACATTTAAGAATGAAAAGATCCTTCTTATTTGGGGTTTCCTATAACTTTCATCCCCAGATTCTTCTTGTTTCTCTTAAAAAAGAGGTCTAGTCCCTTATACACATGACTGACTTTCAGATATTATGACAGCGTTTGGTCTTCCTGGAGTTGTACCCAGGCCAAACCTCCCCTGTTCCTTTGTTACAGTGACAAAATTGATAACACTCCCACACTCATCCTGTGGCCATCATTTGTCTATTTTCCTTTCATAGCCTGGAGCCCAGAACTGTAGTGACAGCCCTGTTGTAGCAGGTCCACAAGTCTATAACCTGCCTCATCCTAAATACTCCACCTCTGGTAATGTAGCCCAACGCTGCATTTGATTTTGGGAGCCACAATAAACTGTCAATTTGAAATCCTAGTTCTTTTTCATATGGGCTACTCATCAGATATATTCCTGACCCCCATGCTCAGTCTTCTCATGAATAGTTGGGATTTTCAGATCCAGACATAGAACTTTTACATTTATTTCTATTGTACTTCATCCTTTAAGTTAAGCCTATCACTCCAGCCTGTCAGGATCTACCTAGATCCTGATGCTGTGACTGAACTTACCATTTAACTGCAGGAAAAAGACCTCTAAATTCAGTTTTGAGAATTGCTTCTCTAAGCATTCTCTTTCAAACTTTTGAGAACTACCAATAACCCTTGTAGTGCCATTGGGTCTACTTCTCCATGTCTCAGATGGTTGTACAGATTTTGCAATTTGTCTCAAAGGCTCGTGGAAAGCAGAGCCCAGCTAGGAGTGCCTAATTACCAGAAGCTAGACCTAAATGACAATGTCTGCAGACGAGCAGAGGATCCTCCAGCTCGGGGCCTCGCTGTGCATGCACCCAGCTCAGGGCTGTCTGAGTGGCTAGGAGGAAATAAATCCAGGGCTCTGAATTATACGCAATTTTATCTGAACCTTCTGCAGATGGCAAAAATGTCTCCTGCCCCAATACTCACTTATTTTATGTGAAGCAGACAGAATTGCTTGGTATGCGTGATACATAATCTACATAACTAATTTCTAATTTCTGATAGTATTTGGATGGATGAGATTAACATCCAGGACAGCCACATTGGACTGTATACCCTTTAGTCCATGCAAATGGCTCCCCTTGGAGTTAAAAAATGTCAACTCATACTTGGATTAAAGTACTTCTAGAAATCACTACTCTATTGCATTTCATCCCGAGTATCTACTACGTGCGTAACACGACCATACAGTCATCATCTCACTGACAGCTGGTCATGACTTATGCCCCAGTTATCTACCCGAGTATAAGAACACCTTTCAAAACCCAGTGGTTCTTTCTTTCACACCGTATTTCAAGCCATGAAGAGTTAAGTAACTTGAGGTTCTCATGTGCTTCTTCTTGCATCCATAAGGGAATATTTCTTATTTAAATTTTAAATTCAAATTCAACTAACATTAACCATCTACCATGATCTTAGCGCAATGTTAATCACTTTATTTCGTGTGAATTATTTAATGACCAACAGGATGACTTTGTGCACAGAAATAACTATTCAGATTGATCTGCTTTTAAAATATATTTGATTTCATTGCTTAAAACAAATTTAAACACTCTAGTTCATCCTTAAGTTTCAAGGTCAACTATGTATCTTATAATTTTTGTAATCACACTCAAAGTGCCATTTGAATAATGCTTGGTCCATTTTAAAAACCTAATTAACTAAACTCCTTTAAACATTTAAAACTATATACTTAGAATATATTTAATTCTTTAAATATTAAAATTGTTTAACTTACAAAACCTTCCCTTAAATAATTCTTAGAGACCTAGTAAATTTTCTTAAGTGCTCTAATACTGTTTACAAATCTAGTAAGACTTCAACTGTCCCCTAAATCAGTCTAAATCAATTACTTCATTTCAATTTGGAAATACAGGCTAACTTGCTACATGGGCCAAATTATTTTGAATAATTAGTTGAGCTACCAAAGATGCATAAATACTTTAAATAAAAAATAGCAACACTATGGCTTTGATTCTGTTAAAATCTTCTATGTTCAGTTCTCACTCTTTCTAAAATTAAAATATGTTTACCCATTAGGAAAACAAAGTTAACTTTAAAGTTAATCATAACATTCCAAAACTAATCCTACAGTTGTGTGGGCACCATATCTTCTGTGCCTCTATGCTGCCTGTCTGGTGCATCAGAAATATAAAGAGAAGACAGCCTACCTGCCCACGAGGAGTTCGCTGCCCAACACAAGGCTAAGATAAAAGAACAAATCAGTTCTACATGTCAGATGACAACTATTGCCAAGAAAGAGGTTCTAATAACATGCGTGGGGAACTGGCCACAAATAATTCAGGAAACCTAGAAAGCCTTCCCCAAACTACCAGAGCATAAGCTAGGCCTTTAAAGATAGCTTATATTTTCTCCAACACACTAGGAAGAATTTCAGACAGACATAGTTTTTTTTCACAGAAAGAATTTTACACTAAACACTATATACCCACCACCTAAACTCTAACATTAACTTTTCCTATACTTTCTTTAAGGTGTCTGTCTGTTCCTCTGCCAACCCACTGACCCATCTTTTTTGATTGCGGTTTTTCGCTGTTATTGCTGCAGGCATACTATTTCTCCCTAAATACTGCAGCATGCCTTCTCAGGACTAAAGTAAGAAGACTGATTTTAACAGGTGGAATGGTGTGTGTGTGGAAGGGGGCATAGGTTGAAGACTATTTCAGACAGAAGAAGTGGCATTCCTTTAAATATATAAGCAGGAAACTGGGACTGCAAAAAAATGAAGCCTGGCGACCTTTCCACTCTGCTTTCCAGACTACTGTGCCCTCTTTCCATCTTGGACCAGGAGACTCTAGTTCTGTCCTCTTAGTATCCACAGCCTTCATGACTCATCTTCATTCATCTCTAGAAATACTTGTCATAGCTTATAGAGCTGAGTGGCAATGTCACACCTCACCACTAAGTGTCATTGTATAGTAGCTTCTCTGCAGCACAGAATTCCTTTTACGGGTGCACACTGGCCCATCTTGAAGGCTGAGATCCTGCACTGCACTGCCCCTGTCTTTCACCCAGGCAACAGGCTGCTGCAAAGACAAACACAGTCCAACCTGCCTCTAGTATGCTGTGAGCCTCACCAGCACTGCAATTCAGTTTCTAGTTTATTTTTTATTTCCCCTAAATAACATGACACAGTTGAAAGTGACCCCATCATCGCTTTCTCCTGCATCCCACAGTGCTGTGAATTTCCCTGCTAAAGGGGCACCAGAGGGAGAGACTCTGGCAGAAAGGAACAGAGTTTGCACGGGGCCTTCCTCCCCCAGACAGAAGACTGGTTAACGTTGTTGTGGGCTGTGTGTAAGGGATGTGGCCTCAAGGTCATGTTTGAGGCACAGCAAATGCAGGGTCTGTGGCTACAAATTACAGCCCAGAGAGACTGGCTTGTACAGTGTAAGAGCCACTTTGTAACTGAATGCAGTCAGGGAGCCACAAAGAAAGCAGTAACAAATGGAGCCTGCTCTTCACTGGCTGCAGCGGGCACTAAGGCAAACTCGTAGGAGTAGAGGGCTGAACTGCCCCAGGCCTGGGGAAGGGACTCAGCTGATCTACTGCGAAGAAGGCTCCTCTGGCCCTTGCTTTCCTGGGAGGGATCTGTAAGGATTATCCACATCTTGCCCCATGTTTAAAGAATGAGAACTCAAACTTCTGGTCG